GTTTGGATGGTATATCTAGTGAATCAAGAGTAGATATAAAAAATAGAAGGTTTATAGTAGCAGTAAGGTGTGATGTATTAGAATAAAATTGGCATGTTAGTTAAATATGTATGCCCTAATGAATTTAAATAAATTTGCAGTCCTAATCGCCCTCCCTTCGCCTAAATGCTTTAATATAATATCAAAAGTTCTTCTTGACATGAGTGCCACCAGAGGAGAATGAAACTTCGGGCTTTAAATTTATTTACTGAGTTGAAGTCTTTAAAATCCGGTCGACTACATATACTTAAAAGCCCAATGTCTTGGCGGCATTCACACCCACCTCTTTTCTAATATTGGAACTGGCCATAATTCTATAAAAAATTTAAGATTTGCCACGCACGAATTATAAATCTCTAAAAATGAGGCCATATAAATTATATAAACTATTTTTCGAAGATTTTAAAAAAGGAGACTGGAACCTGTTTTTTTTCCAGAGAAATCCACCTGGATAATAAATATGCCTATATAGTTTTTAACAATAAATTTAGTGAAATCTGGCCCAACCAGATTATAAGAACTAAAAATCTAATTTTATGTGACCTAAAATGTATTCTATGTTTCGTGAAATTCCATCCAATAAACAAGCTTTTTATTTCTGTCTTTGATCATGTCCACGAGACAAGGATATGAATCGAAAGCGACTCTAATACAAAACTTGAAAACTACGTCGTCCTCATTAATAATGTTCTCCTTTAATCTTTCACTAAAATATTTTTCATATATCTCCTTGATCATGTCATCCATGAATTGTTTAGCTTCTTTCCTTGTTATTCTTTCACGAGTTAATAATTCCGTAATCTTGTGATGAAGAATTTTATAACAATCGTCTTCTTTGTAAGATTTTATCCATAGTACACAGTATTTCTTCGTCTTATAGTTAAAATAAAATTCCTTTTCACAATAACCACCAGGATTCGGATATATTTTGATTTTTGAAGTCATTTTAATCATTCTGATTTCTTTTGATGCTTTTTATAATTCTTAAGCACAATTCGATATGGATGTTAAAAAATACGTTTAATTCGTTTATATTTGTTTTGTGTAAATAATATTATTTATATTATCACCTTTGAATCTTTTATAACTATCTCGTTTAGTTCGTTTCTATATACTTATGTGCAAATAATATTATTTATCAGTTATATTATCTGGGCTACAGTATTGATAAATAACCTAGACTTTCACGGAAACGCTGATCGGCCGTTTGCACAGTCGGGTATCGTCATACAGAATACGTCATGTGCATTGCGCAACAATACTCTAGCGCAAGTTATTATGAACCAGGTCCGTCATTGGTCCGAAGAAAAATCCAAACTCACGTGCTAAGTATCACCTTTAATCGGATATGTATCATTTCATCGACAATCACTTCACCGAGCACCCCATCACATGGCGTAAGGAGTAATATTGAACAATAATTATTAATCATCAAACAATCGTTAAATATTAATCATCGCGCTGTGTGATGGGGTGTTCGGTGAAGTGATTGTCGATGAAATGATACGTATCCCCTTTAATCATACGTTCACTTTTCGTCTCTGCTAACGTTTAAATTAATATAGAAATAATTTAAACAATTTTATTGTTCTTTTATAGTCGCTTCTTTTTATACCATGAACTAAAAGATTCAAAACAAAATAGTTCACTCTGGATAAAATGAATTTATATAATACGTGAATTTACTACGTACCACATCTGAAGCCAATTTAGTATACGTATACGTACAGTATCTCTATTATGAAAACAGTCTATTTAATGTATATCGATATGAAGTATGATTTCAGGTTTCCAGATTTTGGATCTATTAGGTAACCCCTTTAATAAAATGTATTCTAATCAACTGATTATAAAATTATAAAGTGTGCCATTTTACAGATTATATTTTCTTATATATGCAAGCAAAAATTTCCAAAGGTAACAACTAGTACTTGATTTTAATTGGGCTAATTTAAATATACAGTATATAGTTATTATTGATTTTTTAATTAAATATCTTAGCAACTATCAAAACCATACTAAGCCTGAAAGATTTTTGAGATCCACTAATGCCTCACATTATATCCTAGCACTATAATTTCAGATATATCAAAATATCATATCACTTAATTAATATCTTCATATTTAACATTATGATATAAAATGCAGTATTTGTTAAATATAAACATACAAGAGTACGAAGAATTAAAAACAATGATTTGGTAAAACACCTCTTTATTACACCTATCATGCTTTCTTGACTTGTACTTACAAGTCTAACATTAGTATTTTTATTCATTAACTGCATGAAGTACATCACATAATTTTTTGATATATGCGACAGGCCGTAACTAATGCCGTCAGATGTGTAATAACTGATAACTATAATGAGTTACGGCTTTTTGCCATAACTTTATCTGTTATGTTACGACAAGTTACGGCAATAGTTACGGCAAGTACGGAGTTTCGCCTGCTATGTACGAATAAATCAATTTGTTGCCATCCCTATTCGTAATATATAAATCGGACTTCATGTTAAGCATTTCCGCGAAATATTACCACTAAATTTTTAATGGTATTTGCTGATTGGATTGTATTTGTGAATCGTAATAAAGGTACTCTTCGAATTACTATAGATATGATGAATGACAATACATTTGTTTATCTTAAACATAATATTCAAAGTAGTATTTTATTACCTTGCCCATCTTCAATTTCCGTCTTTTATTCTTCATTCATTAATTAGATTCACATAGTGATAAGCTAACCATGTCTTTGGATAATGCAATTGATGCAATTGATGCTAGCAATGCGGACGAATCCACTGATGTTTCTCTAGTCCCAGCAAAGTGGGGCACCTTTGTCCCATACGAATCGATTGAAAACAGTCATAATCTAATAACCATTAATCATTTTACTAGGGAAGACGTGTTGAACTCTTGCGAGTATGTAAATTAACTTTGTATTCATAGTTAATTTCATCCTGAGATAACTAAATTTTCTTAAACAGATGGGTAGCGACTGAAAAAATTCATGGCGCTAATTTTTCTTTTTTTACTAATGGCCATAAAATCAAATGTGCTCGTCGTAATGGTTTTATTGCTCCAGACGAAGATTTCTACAATTATCAGTCTATGCTTACAAAATATACTTTGCAAATTTTATTACTTCACAAATTAATGCTTTCAAAAAATCTTATTAGAGGTGAAATGATTATTATTTATGGTGAATTATTCGGCGGAAAATATCCTCATCCTGATATAACTAAAGGCGTTAAAGAAAATTTAAATCCAATTTACCCAATACAACATGGTGTTTATTATTCACCAAAAACAGAATTTATAGCTTTCGATTTGTTTGATGGTGTAGATTTATTAGATTTTGATATAATGGAAGAATTATTAAATGCTTCAAATATCCCTTATTTAAAACCATTAATCAAAGATAGTTACCAAAATGTTATTAAATTTGATCCAAATTTTACTACTACTATACCAAAATTACTTGGTTATCCAACTCCATTACCACCTCCATTCAATGATAATATGGCTGAAGGAATTGTAATTAAACCAGTTAAGAACATCCGAACCTCTAAAAGACGTCGTGTTATACTTAAGATTAAAGCCCTAAATTTTGATGAACGCAAAAAGAATCCAGATAAATTAAGTAAAAAAGGAAAAGTAACGTCAGTTGACAAAGTTATGATGGGTCTTAACGAGTTTATTAATATAAACCGACTGAATTCGGTAATTTCAAAACAGGACGCTAAAGTTAAAAACGATGAGATGAAAATGGTAGAATTGTTATATGAAGACGCAATGGAAGATTTTATGAAAGATGAACAATTGAAGACAAAATTTTTGAAATTGTCAGACAATAAAAAGGAGAAGGTTAAAAGAAATGGTATTTCGAAGGCAAATCAAATTGTTAATGAGCATTTAATGTCATTGTACGATGGTCAATAGTCAGGCAATCATAATTAATATTTTAATATAAATAATAGATTTTTTTTATTTAATAAGTTATTTAATAAATTCAAATATGATCTCACTTTATAAAATAGTTAATAAATCTTTTTAGATCTTGCAAGTTGATTCAATTATTTTTAAACAAAAACTCAATCAGCTATAGTAGGGTCCCAGGCTGAAAAAAAAATGAAATGAAAAAAAAGATCTATAATAAACAAACATTAATGACAGACTGATTAAAAAAGATAAAACATACCAACAACAAGGTATTCATCCAGACTATCGAGGGTTTCCATATCATCTTGTTTGATTTTAAAGTCGAAAACATTTGCATTCTCAATGATACGTTCCTTACTGACACTTTTTGGTAATGTCACATAATTATGTTGAAGACCCTGTTAACGAAGAATAAATTATGTCTAATATTATTATGCACATTACCATTAAATTGTTAAGTATGAACTTGAGCTTACCCATCGAATCAAAATTTGTGCTGGCGTTTTCCCGTATTCTTTAGCGATACGAACAAGAGTGGGATCATTGAGTTTTTGTCCTCTGGTAAGTGGTGAATAAGCTTCAACGACAATATTGTGTTCATTGCAAAAGGATACAATGTCACTTCGAGCTAACCATGGATGAATCTAAATCAAAGTTCTTCGTTTGTTTTTTTTTCTTTTAAAAAGAAACAAAAATATTGATATGTACACAGATATTATGAAATAATTTTATATTACCTCAACCTGGTTTAACGTAGGTTTAATCTCTGGATTACTATCTAATAATTCTTTTAAATGTTTTACTCCATAATTTGAAACTCCAATACTTTTTACTAATCCTCGTTTAACCAATTCTTGTAGAGCTTTATAACTTTCTGCTCGTTTTTCAGGACCGGGCAAAGGAGAATGTAAAATTAGCAGATCAATATACCCAGTCTGAAGCTTTTCCAATGATGTTTCTGCGGCTTTAAGAGTCGATTCATAGCCCTGATCTATAAAATTTTATAATTTAGTATTGCTAGGGATAAGAATCGTTATGAATCAGGACAAAAATATTTTCATCAGAAGTAAAATTGGGTGTGATTCCGGGCTAAAGTTATCAGTCATATGATCTAAAGTTTATAAATGTCGCGGCTGAAGCTTGAAACTTGAAATTTTAAATACTTTTAATATGAAATTTTCGGGATGCATTTTTTTAGCTTTTTTTTAGTTAGCTTAGGATTTAGGGTTAGTTTTGATAATTAAAATGTATTTTGGTAGGGTTTATATTTTTAAATCGAAGTCCCTAATTTCAAGCTTCAGCCGTTTCAACGACAATAAATATCTCGATGACAGTATAACTATTTTCGATATTCTAATTCTATAGACTCGTATAATTTGAAAAACGTAGACGATTATTAAGTCTATATTTTTTCAATTTTGGCAAAAATCTTCAAACATCAAATTACCAAGAAATTATCGAAAAAGATAGGACATTATTAAATTCTAATATTGCCTACATTTTTTTTCTAAACTTTGAATTTGCAGAATTCAAAGTACTAAATAAGCACCCCATAATGCTAGTGTGAGCAGCGGTGCTTGTTTTTGGAGGGATCTTAAAAGTATGGCTACGTCTACGTTTTTTAGTAAGAGTATCTCGATAATGATATGTATGAAGATAGTCTTCGAATCCTATATGAAAATAGAATGTCCTGAAGATAAATATAACGTTAAAGATGAACTTACCAGTATTCCAAATTTTTGTTGTTACAAAAATTTCTTCACGAGGGATTCCACTAAAAATTAGTAAAAGGCATGTGAATATAAAGTGTTTGGCAGTGGCAAGGGCATGCCACTGGGTATAATATCAAAATCATAGTCTTATATTATATATTTCGTGACCGTCCAATTAAATTTCGAAATCGTTAAAATAAATTTTTTTTATTGTAATTGCGAAATTTTCTGCCACAACTATTCTACTTCGTACACTTCACACTAATTTTGATTGTGATCTAAATATTAGAACTAGAGGCGTGTCCCAGCGTGAGATATTGATATCACCCTCGCGCGAAATAAATTTTTAATAAAGAATATATATCTTAGTGATCAGTGATTTATCAAACGCAAATGGTTTTTTAATAGACAAAAATTTCTTTAAAAACAAAGCTATCACAAACATATAATTTGCTGAACACCAAACTCCGTTCAGTATGAGTTCATCTCACATTTCGCGCAAGGTCATATGAAATGCGAAATATATGCTAGGTTTATCGCACATTTCTAACGCTAATTAGAACCGATTACTATAATTCTGGTCAAATTTGCAGATCGTTTGGCCAATTTCAGAGTTTTTGATTCCGAATCTGGCCAAATGATCTACAGATTCGACCAGAGTTATAAGTAATCGGTTTTTTTAATTTAGATCACAAAATTAGCTATGTCATGTATCATATCAGCTGTCTAATAAATATAAACTAATGAGTTATATAATTCCGGCCAAAATTGCGATCATTTGACCAGATCTGGAGTAAAATAATTTAAAATTTGACTAAAAGGATCGCAATTTTGACCGGAATTTTTATATTTATTGTCGGGGATGATGCTGAAACGTGGGGGTCTCGATTTAGAAATATAAACCCTACTAAAATCCACCTATACTTTTTAATTATAAACGCTAGCCCTAAACCCTAACTTAACTACAAAGAATAAGCTGAAAAAACATCCCCCAAAATTTTAAAATTTCATAAGTCAATGTTTCAGCATCATCTTGTTTCAGCATCATCCCCGACATTTATTAATCAGCCAATATGATTAATAATCGACAAAGCTCTACCGCTATAACCTATGTACCTATTTGCGATAGCAATTCCAACATCCATTTCGTTACCATAAGTAGATGCAGTGTCGACATGCCTATATCCTGCCTGTTAAAAGTTAGCATTATTATTATTGTGAAATTTCGATATAATCGTTGATAACTTACCTCTAAAGCCCATAAAATTGCTTGCTGTGTGGTTTTACCACTTGGTGCCTTAAAAACACCTAGTCCTAAAAGTTATTTCGAATTAAATAAGTCTTTATCAAAATAATAATAATCTTTACAACTATAATAACAAACCTATCCTTGGAATTTTGTTTCCATCGTTCAAAGTAATAGTAGAATCTATTTTTAAATCCATATATATAGGTAATAACGATAAATGACGAATTGAACGTCAATTTATACTCAATTTTTGCGGATAATCGCGTTACACAGATCAGTGGATTTAGTTAAGATTACAAGTCACTCTCGTTATAGTGAACTCTTATTATGTTTCAGGCGAAACCTAAATATTTCGCCCGAAATATGGGCAATATTAGTTTCGCCCAACAATTAATCCGTTCGGAACTGTATTAAACACGTGAATCAAATCTGACCCATAATATTTGTCATGGGCATGCTTGGATCATAAGTATTGGATCGGTGGTGTTACCGTATGAAATGATTTTTTCATACCTTACATCACTTTAGAGGTTTTGTTAGGTCAAAAATTTATGCCAACTGCCCATATTTATGGATTTGGCATCATCATGGCGGAAATGTTATCAGGATGAAACACCTTTTTGTGGCTATGGATTTGATATTGGTCAAGCCGTAAAGATTATGGATTTTGGTCTAGATTTGTTCCTGGGGCTCATGTTCTATGAATTTGCATGTAGTCAAGGTCTTTTAATTTCTAAGGCTTCTTGAAAGTGTATTTGCTTGTTCAGATGATTTCAAGCTCATTAATTAACATCCGAATTAGTTAAATCATAATGTATTATAAAATTATGTTAAGCCTAACAGTAACTTACCATGTACAAGAATGACGTGCAGCTGTACTAGTCTATGTACTAATTAGTGTTGCTTACTACAAATGTGAAGTGCGACTTTTTTATAGCGCGACTAAGGTTGCAACCTATTGTCGCAATAGAATATGACATCGGTAATAGTGCTACGCAAAATCAAATCAAATTTTGAATTTGGCTCAAATCTTTGAAATTATTTGATCAAATTAATTAAAAATTTGATAAAATAATTTCAAATATTTGACTCAACTTCAAAATTTGATTTGATTTTGCGGAGTACTAATCGGTAATAGTATTTATGACTTATCTTGTAATAATTACAGCATAAATAAGCTGTAAAAATTATGTTGCGCCTTTGCAGCAAGCAACACTAGTACTAATCCGTTATCCAGTTTAAAATTTGAAAATTAGTATGTCTACTTTCCTTCCCGAAAAAAATTCGACAGCCTCAATAATAAGCAATATACGATTATTTGGATTAATTGGGTCTGGTAGAATTGCCGAATTTGCCTCTAGAAACATTAACTATAAATCAATCCGAACTTAACCTAAATCAGGACAACTTTTTCAGCAAAATTGTTGAGTCCGATCGACCCATATGTACGATAATTTGCTATTAAAGACAGTATGATATAAAATTCGGTTAGAATGGTTCTTGATAATCAATTTATCAAAAACGGCTAAAAACGGAAATATAATAGAATGATTTATCGTTATGTTAGTGTTGTCATCAATATGAAATTACGTATGTACGTACAGTAGCCACCAAAAGTAACGCCCGATTTGCAGATCATCTCACATGAGCAAATAAAACGGCTGTGTTTACCCCA